CTTTCCCTAGTTCCCAAAGGCAAACATTTCCTTTTCTGGTTAGTCTCATTGTGGGTAAGCTAAATAGCTTACTGTGGAAAAAGAAAAGTCTAAAGATTCAAGTTGTTGTTACAGCTTATGGTGCCTTTCTCGTTCGTATAAGCTAGCACACTGAGGACAGTATATCCTGAGAAGTGGTCTCTTCTAGGTCTCAATTAAATGTTTGTAATGCTCTGCCTTGCCTGTACATTCACCATAGCCTGCCACTGTACTGAGGAGATACCCTCTCTTTAGAAAAACTCACGTGACTGTAACTAGGGAATTTGCTAACTTAGAGGACTAAAGAGATGGCTGGGAAGCGATGCAGCTGGGGACATGTAGCAGGAGTCACTGCCAGTTAGATTGTTCTGGACCGTGTAACACAGTTACTTATTCAGGAATGTAAGCAGAACGCATAGACCTGGTTACACAGGACAAGAAGGTGTGTGACTCTGGGAGGAGCACTGCTGCGTCTGTACATACTGTAACGGCGTCAGCGTTAATACAACTTCCTGTGATGACCGGGCTTTTCTTTGCAATTCCTGCCACTGAAACCATTTTCTTTGTTATCGTGGTACCTTGGGTTAGACTTAATTTTTCTTCCTCAAGTAAGTACAGTTTGTGCTTGAGGATAGTTACACTTCTCCAAGCTGATGAGCTAGTTTTTTCATTGAGACAGCTCTTCCCTCAGTCTGTGTAACAAAGTAACTATTTAGCCTCATGCAGTGGCCTGCAAAAAGGAGCTGAGTGCTCAGTAAAATAGGAACTTCCCTTTGGGCTGAGGGATTCGTTTCTTTGTTGGCACTGCAGTATGGATTTGAAATACTATAGAGTTAGAGGCATTTGTTTGTTCTTTAACACTAGATAGGATTTGCTTTAAAGGGTGAATTACTACTTTCAGTTGTAAACTATTTTCAGTTTTCTGTTGGAGAAGGGTTTTGTCCATTTTCTTTATGAATAAAATCAAAGAAGGACTTTGACTTCAAGTTGATAAAAACCTCCTGATTCTAGGCTTAGGATGAAATATTTCAGCCTATATAACAAGGATTATATGTTACATTAGGAATTGTAGAGATTTTTAAATTTAGGTCTATAGAATTTGGTTTTGGTAAACTTGATCCAATGTCAAAATGGTTATATGTTATCCAAGCCTTGGAA